TAGGCTGGCGTGTGGCAACGCTTTCAGTTCAGTGCACCAAATCATAAGTGTGTCTCTCCTAGTGAGAGCCCGGGTGAGCCCGCAGAGTGCCCCCTGTGGACCCGTTTAACGGGGGTTTGTCGAACGTATCCCCTGCCCGGATACAAAGCTGCTCACAGCGAGCGTAGGTGGCCTAGGCCGAGAGAACGCAGATTTATGTCCAATTTCTTGAATTCCAAGCTGGCTCATGCCTTAACTTGACCGTAGCGGTCAAAGCTGCCAGCCATTTTGGCACGGCGTAAGTGGCCGCAGCGGCCGAAGCTTGTTCAAGACTCGTTGGAGTCTGTTGGGACCTTAGTCCCTTCCTCCCCCCTACCCTCCCCCTTCTTCTCTCTTTGCCTGTTTGGGGTTTACCTGAATGTAAAACTCAGGTTTACCCCTCTCCGTGGTGTGTCCCTGGACGCTTGCGCGTAGCTGGGAACACCTGTTTTCGTTCTTTTTCCTTTCTCCCTCTTACTTCTTCTTTTGGGTGTCCCTGGATAACCCTTCTCTTCCTCTCTGGGTGTGTCCTTGGACGCTTGTGTCGTAGCTGGGAACACCTCTTTTCCTGTCCTTTCTTTTCTTTCTTCTCTTCTCTCCCTACCCCTCCCTCCTGTCGGGCCATTAAAGTGGGACGCTACTAGGGGCTCCTGGCCTTACTACTAGATGCAAGGACGCTACTGAGTACGAGCATCCTCCCCTTGGGGAGGCGTGTGTGTGTGTGTGTAACCCTTGGAATCAAAAAGAACCTTTAGGTTTGGAACAGGGGGCGTGACGGTCGATTTCCTAGTCACGCCAATGAAGCTATGGAAATCGACTGGATGGAAGTTTGGACGCAAACTTCCGTACCTGTTCCATTATTTAGGAAAACAAGAGGAAATGGTACTCGACACACTTGTGTGTCGGTGCCTTTCCTTCTGTTTTCCTCTAGCCTACTCTATAGGTTTGCAGGTAGGCCTCCTAACTTTGTAAGGGGATCTTTAACCTGAACTTCGGCCTCCACCCACTAGCGATGACCTCCAACCTTGGCTGTCTTGTGTTTCTTGTGCTTTTTGTGCTTCTTGTAACCTTGTAGCACTGGCCTCCAACTTGGTACCCTGGCCTCCACCCACTAGCAAGGGCCTCCAACCTTGGCTGTCTTGTGTTTCTTGTGCTTCTTGTGCTTTTTGTAACCTGGTAGCTCTGGCCTCCAACTTGGTACCCTGGCCTCTAACCTACTAGCGATGACCTCCAACTTTGCTTCTTGCTGTCACTTTGTGTCTATGGTCCACCGCCTACTAGCGATGGCCTCCAACCTTAGGTCTTGGCCCCCAACAGCCTTGCGTTGGCCTCCAACCCAAAACCGATGGCCTTTAACCTACTATTTTCCTGACACCTCAGGCCTTTTAAAAACTTAGGCTGGCGTGTGGCACCGCTGTCAAATCAGTACGCATATCCATACGTGTGTGCCGCTTGTAGTCACAGGGATCCACTCGGATTGTGTTTTTGTTTTTTGTTCAGCAGGGGGTGCCAGGGACCGTGCAAGTCTGGCACCAACAAAGACGCTTGCACTGGTCTGTGAAGTCAATCCGGGACGCCGGATTGACGTACCTGCTTGAAGAGAACCTACTTAATGAACAAGCTGTTCCACTTCTGTGTTTTGCAGTAACCATCTAATGCAGCGGCAAGTCACTTTGGCAGTTTCGTGAGCTTGAACCTGCAACCTTTTGAGAACGTTGCAAGCCTTTGCAGGTTTGATGGTCGCTAGATTTTCACATGTTCACCCTGGTTCCTTAGGTTTTTCACTTAGGCTGGCGTGTGGCCGCTTTCAGTTCAGTACACCAAATCATAGGTGTGTGTGTGTGTGTCCATAAGTCTTCATGTGCACGGACGCACTGACAGTCACGTGTGTCCTCAGTCCAGCTGGTTGCGCCGCCAAGCATACTGGTGCAGCCTCTTCAAGTCTAGTCTAATCCACAGGCGACGCCACAGGCGACCATCTTTGTGACGCCAACTTCTGCCGAATGCGTGACCTCTGCGAATGTGCAAGAAGTGCCTTGGCAGATCTAGACCCCAAAAACTGCGGGCTCGAGAAAATGAAGCCCCTGAGATCGAAAATTCCCCCTTTTGCCCGAGGCAATGGACGGGTGAGCTCCGCAATCCAACGAGGCAAACACCGACCTTGCTGAGGCTGCTGCGACAGGCAGCACCCCCATTTTCCACGGGGTCCTTCGATCGATTAGAGAAGCACACGCTATAGGCTATAGGTCGCTGACTACCATACGCATGCCGCCAACACGGCAACACGTTCGCACCTTACGGTCGCGATGGAAGCCGGGCGCGGGCTTCGCCACACGAGGGGAGCCGTTCGCGGAGCCAACCGGCCGACGGCGGCGACACGCCAGGCGACCTACGGCGGAGCAGAACGGACCGGTGCGGGGGACGTGACCGGTCAGCGAGCAGTCCATGGTTCTCTCGGTCCATGTGCCTCCGAGCCGCGATCAGTTCATATCCGTCCGGCTGTACAATGCAGATGCATGTCATCCAACATGTGACTTTCTCACCTTGTACATAGTGTAGAATATGCAAATGGCATGTGGCAGACCTTTCATGACCTTTCTGAGAGCTTGCGCTTTACTTTTGGTTTTGGTTTTTGGCCCCAAAAAATTGGTCAATGCATAGTTCATGTATGTGAGAATCACCCATATCATGTGCGTCCAATGGCGCTCCGGGTGAACTGGCCTGCCTGAAAAACCAGATCCAGCAAGGGATTTGATCCTCACCCCCCACCCTGACCACACCCTGGAAGTCCAAGACTTTTTGAAAATGTTCCGATGCGACAGGAATTCAGCCTGGTACGAGTATCTTATATTTATATGGAGAGAGAGAGAGAGAGCGTAGTGTATGAGTGTATGCAATATATATATATACATATATGTATTGTATATATATATATATCCAAGCCACTTGTCGCATCCGCCGACTGGGTGTACTGAAAGTCAACTACTTCCATCCTCTTTCTTCTCCCCTTGTTCTACTTTCAGACTGCAAAAGAAACGAATCAACACCATGACCCACCATGACCTAAAACATAAGACGCAAGTCTTGAAAAACAACAGACCCAAGAACGCCGCAAAACGAGCGTCTGCGGCGAAACGAGCACGAAACTCTCCTGTTTTTCCCGACGAGTCGGAGCACGGGGGTCGAGTCGGAGCCGTGCAAAGATCGATCCAACTGGCCACAGGCCAAAGCTTAATCCAACTGTGTTGCAGTTTGCGCGCAACGCGCAGCTGTTCGAGCTGGAAATCGATGTCCAGGGCTTATGGGAAACTTTCTGGTAGAATGTACGGTTTGCAAGATTGAAAACTTCTCTGTTGATAGCAAGATTGAAATCTTCCTTTGCGAACTGGTGGAATCGCTGAACTGGAAGGCACCTGGGCACCCACTGCCATCTGCTTGCGTTCAATACTGTTGCCTCCAAGGTGATCCTGAGAGTGTCGGAGAAGCCCATTTCAGGATGGTAAAAATTCAAACCTCTTGGCGGTTCAGCAGGGTGTGTCGTTGTTTTCGGACCAAGGCACCATCTTCTCGCGGCCTTCTACGTCGACTTCTGAAGAGCGCGAAAGGCGCGGCTTCGCGTCGGCTCTGCGCGGTTCGGTCGTTTCGCGCCTAGCGCGGTTCGGTGGATCCAAGGTGGGTCAGTGTCACCCGAGCAGAGCAGCTTTGTGAGCGCACGTAGCCAGAACGATCAACGAATGCCCGCTACGAAAGATCTGCCTGGTGAGAGGTTTATCTGGACACTACAAAAGACCTGCATTTAATCTGGACGTCAGGATCAAGCGGGCAAACGCGCATGGTGAAGTTCGCCACTGTCAAAACCTTGCGTCACCGTGGCATTCGTAAAGGCCTGCACTAGCACGGCTTCTACGTCTGCTCTTTCAGGTTGTCACTGCATATCCTGAACATGGAAAGTGCGCATGCGAGATGGACAGCCAACGGTCAGGACTTGACGCTTTCGGCTGCAAATGTGTCCTGGTTCACGCACCGGCACATCCTCCGCTGAGATCTAAAGGAGGAGCATCTGATCAAAAGCATCTCGAGGCGGCTCTCATGTAAAGGCCTGCTCCCTTGAAAGTCGGGCGCATCAATGCCCAAACTGATGAGTATTTGTCAGGAGCTGTGTGTCCCTAGCATCATCTGGCTCTATATCGCAGCTTTGTACCTTTTCCAGGGATGCTTTTGAACTGGGACTCTCACAAACGTCTTCGAACCTCCGCTACCTGCACGCCAAAACCGCTTCATGAGTTATATATGTGAAGCTGATGGACGGAGCGTGATTGACTTGAGAGAGTTCCAGGTAAGGCTTCATCTGCTCTTCGCATTGTCAGAGGGCTTGGAGGTGTTTGTTAAGCCAGAATGTCCTCTATCTGCACCAACAAGGAATCTGTCTCAGCTTCCAAGGTCGTTACGACCCTCTGCCTAGGGTCGGTGCACATGCAGCACACGCGCTGAGACTTAGTGAGACCCTGTGGTCTGTGGAATGAAAGAACTGGACGTCATGGAAAAGGACCCAGTGAATATATTGGCGCACGACGTCCACGGCCAAGGAAGCACCATGGTGCTCCCGTTGTTCGACAAAAGTCACCAAGTGTACTCTTCCATCCTGCTGGAGCTAAGCTTCGCAGTGACATTCCCTCCAACTCAAGTCGGATGATTCCCACCTTAAACGCCACAGAAGTGCAATTGTCGCTGCCTATCAAAGCAAGAATTGACTGCAGAACTGAAGGCTTGAGTCATGCTGCTAACTACTGTAGTTCCCAATCAAATGTTGGGGATCGAAGAATTGGCTAAGGACTTTTGTAGATTGAAGAAGCTAAAGAATTCTGTTTTTTCTGCAAACAAGATGCATGACAATACCCCACATCCTACTGTGTTTTGCTGCTAGACTCTAGACTTACAAAGATTGGCATGGATGACAAACCTCTCAATGCATGCCAAGAAACCCAGAAGCGCTTGGTCATCTATGCAGTCACAAGTCAGACCCGCAGACCGTCCGACCTTTCTCCTCGTGGTGGAAAAGGATGACACGGTCCGCAGACCTTGCGCCACGGCCGCGGCACACGGCGCCGTTCTCCGTGCCCTCACCAGGTGCCGTGGACGCACCGAGTGCCTTGGACTCATCAGAGCCAGTCCAGCGTGGGTGGGCAGGACCCCAGGACCTCGGGTGGCCGCGGCGAAATCGCGATGCGCGGAGCTCCCACCCGGTGGGACAGACTGTGTGTGTTCCCTGCTGCCAGCTTCACAGACTGCCAGCTTCACAGCCATGTGAGATGATTCCACTTTGGCCAAAAGCTGAAAAGGCATGGGTGGAGCGCGTAGATGAGCTAGCTGACTCTGGACTAGCCACCTGAAGAACAGAACAAGAGACTTTTGGTTTTTCTAAACGTGATATCGGCCTGAGTGAAGCCATCCAAGCAATTACACCAGCATAGACCCAGATAGCTAGGCAGAATCCCACAACCTGTTGACATGGGACTGGCTCGAACAAGATCTACGCAGCCAGCTTACGGCACCTCCACACCGGCACCCAGCACCACCACCAGCAACCTGTCTCCACCACGTGCAAAGCCAGCTCACAGCACCAGCACCCGGCAACCTGTCTCCACCACGCGCACAAGCAGCACCAGCACCGGCACCCAGCACCAGCAACCTGCCTCCACCACGTGCACAGCCAGCTCACAGC